CGAATTCAGACAACCCAGTATAAAAGTCTGAGGGATGGTCCCAAGAACAAATGAAACATCCCTTGCAACTTTATGAATCTCTAGGTCAAGGTGACCTTAGAGTGGGTTAGATCTGGTCATTTGCGAAGTTTTAATTCCATGCATGGAGTTTAGGTCATATTTCCCCTTTTTGACTCATTTTTGCTTCACTCATTTTTGCTTCAAGACATGCATTGGACATGCATGTCTATAAAGCACCTGCCTTTGGGACGATTTTGAGGCTAGAATCTCTTCTGGAAAAGTTGGGTTCCAGATCTCAAGGATTTTTGTCCTTAATGGTTAAGTCTTTGAGTTTTCAAGCCTTGTGGAAGGGTTTTTGAGAATTTGGATTAGCCCCAAAGGATAAAGTTGGAAACTTTGTCCTTTTAGACACATTTAGAGTTTAGATCTGAGCCTTAGAGTCTTTGGAATCAAAGAATCAGATGTATGTGTTAAGCTAGGGAAAACTCGATGAGTTGTCCAGCCAACTCAGCGAGTTGGCTAGGGTTTTCCCCGAATTTCTAATTTCTGTAGAACTCGACGAATCCAAGAGTTGCACTCGACGAGTTGGGTCAACATGGACTGTTGACCTTGACCGTTGACTTTGACTTTGACCATGGTTGACCAAATTGGACTTTTGAGGGCATTTTGGGTATTTCGGTATTTTGATGGGTTTTGGTCATGATGGTTGTAGGCATTGATTCAGGAGCTGATATTTGGATTCTGACCTTATCAGTTCTACACTACTTGTGAGGTGATTTGTCCTCACTGTACTTACGGGTCGAAGGCACCAATGTCGGCCCATTGGATTGATATCCTGTTATGCATGCTATTGTGTTGTTATGATCTGTTAGATCGGTATCCTGGTAGATAGGATGTTGTTATGCTTAGTGATCTGTAAATCTGTGTAACTGCATGTAGACTGTTATATGATTATCTGTTACATGTGCACATGAGTTTGTTGGTGGCTGAGGCTTCACTGCTTTGTACGTAAGCCAACATGCCGAGGCATTCCAAGCCGATGGTTGAGGGCCTAGGGTATTCCATCCCAAGGATGATTGGACCCATAGTATGTTGGCATTCCAACCCGATGGTTGAGGGCCTGGGGTATTCCATCCGAGGATGATTGGACCCATAGTATGTTGGCATGCCAACCCGATGGTTGAAGGGCCTCGGGTATTCCAACCTGATGGTTGATTGAGCCCAAAGTGTGTTGTTATTATAATTGTGTTATTGTTATGTATTGGTATTTTGGGGGAACTCACTAAGCTTTGGGCTTACAGTTTGGATTATGTTTCAGGTACCTCAGTGGATCGAGGGAAGGCGAAGGTGTGATCGTGCACCTCCACATGTTTTGATTTTACAATTTTAGGATTTTTCTGATGTGAAACTTATTTTGAAAAAAAATAGTAATACATGATGGTTTCTGGTTGTTTAAAAAGTTTAAAATTTTCATGAATTTTTCGAATGTTACAACAAATTGAGAAAGCATTGGATGAAAACATTCAGATTCAAGCTCTTAATGATAACCCAAATCCGATGTTGGGCATTTCTCCTCTCTTCCGAGAAGGACTCATTCATGATATACATTTTGTGCCCTTGATGTATTTTGATATTCCAACTCAAGATGTTGATCAACTGGACTTGCCAATCTTTCCACATGGATGCTACTATATTAAGTTCGCACCTCTGCATCCAACTGATGATCCTCAAGCTATCATCCGAACTGAGCGTGAGAGATTGAGCACATTTTATTCTACCAATGCACGACCCCAAAAGGAAGTGTGGTCTTGAAAAAGAATGACCAAGATAATTGCTCATGGTAGAAAAGTCCAAAGCAAGTTTGATCTCGACTGTCTCCTGTACAGATACTATGTCTCTCGGAACAAAGAATTTACAATCACAATCACGGATGTTGACTTTCCTTCGATAAATCCAAATGACATTCTCATCATTGTTGCTCACCTCCGATATCGTCAATCAAATGATTCAAGCATCAGAGCCTACAACTCAGCCATCTGCTTCCTAAAGGACTACATCGCTGAATTCTATCGATCAGATGTAGAGTTTTATCATTTTTTTTGGAACAGAAAACCTCTTAGCCAAAATCACTACGAAACTTCCTGAAGCTCAGATTTTAGCTGAAGGACCCATCGAAGGACCATAGCTTGGTTATGTCTATCTCAAAAAGAAGACCAATCAAAAGGATTTTTTCAGAGTGCTTGACAAATATCTCATTCCTACCAAGATTCTTCAAAAGTTCATGTCAAATGCGGCCAAGAGTGATTCCCCCGAACATGTGAAGAAGAAATTCATTGAGCATCTCAAATGGTACATCGATGTCCGAAGTTGGCTTCAAAGTGCTTATATGTTTGTTTGATGAGGCTAAGTGATGAGTCAAATGATTTCTAAGGTCACTTAGTGGAGATTGTTGATACATGAAAAGTGATCCTTTAGCAATCCGAAGTGAAGGCAATTCGGAAGTAAGAAGTGTTCCGAGATGAAGGCAATTCCGAAGTGAAGATCAATCCGAGATGCATCTTTTTTCATTTGCTATTTGAGACTGTAATGTGCATTAAATGTTCCTAGTACTACTTTGTCCTTTAGTTATTGTTTTATTATACAGCACATGGGACAAGATCAACAAAAGCAGTTGTATCAGTCTGTTGATCTTCAGTTGTCTAAAGTCCATGCACTTTAGCATATTTGTCTTTTTCTCATTTCTTGTCTATTTACGGAATTGTATCTTTAGTGTTAAAAAATACATGAATGCAATATTCTCTTTCACATCAATACCAAGAATCATTCAGTCAAATCATTCTTATTGTTCTTAAAATCGCTTTACATTATTCATACTTATTTTACTTATTTGAGCATTTTGTTGAACTTCTAATTTCGAAACAATATCGGTTTACCAGACTTGACTAGACTTTAATATTAGCAGTAGACATTGATCTTAAGTTAATTCAATGTTTGAGTTTTCAAACCTTGTCTGCGCACATATCGCCTTTTAGCATTTACACACATTAATCTCTACATCTACACCTCACCCTAACACATTCGGCGGTCGACTAGTGTTAAACGATTAATCGGACTCGACAGGGATTAATCGTTGATTAATCGGAGACCCTAAACTATTAATAAAATTATTTAAAAACTTAATATATCCTAAAAAAATAGTATTTAAAATTTTGAAAGTTTAAAATTTTGAAAATTTGAAAATTCTAGTATAATATCTTAAATTTTGAAAGCTTAAAAATTTTGATGTAATATTTGAAAATTAAAAAAAAAATGAATTTTCTAAATATTACCCGCCTAGGACCGCCAAGGACCGCTAAGTCTGAGTTTGACCGATTTTGACCAATTTCCGCTAAGCACCTTAATCGTAATCGGTTCAAGGCCGCCAAGGCCGATTTCTGCAACACTGTTCTTTTCTATTTACAACCCCCCCCCCCTCCGCGCGGCAATGCGAACTCAACATGTCACTTATCCACCTAGAACTCCACCTCAACAATGCCACCAGAAGCAACGTAACTAAGAATTTTTCCGAAAATCAAAATTATGTGCAAGTTTTCTCAGATTTTTTTGTTCATAAAAAAGTCAAGGATAAATTGTAAATGAATTCAGAATATAGAGAATTTAATTAAAATTTCCCTAGAAAATAGGACAAAATATATCGAGTTATTGGCATATAGGATCTCAGCACTCGGATCCTTTTTGTTCGATACCATATCCCATGAAGCAACAAAGAGGAACTCAAGAAAGTGAGGTAGTAGCAAACACATACACAAACTTCGAAAAGATTATAATTTAAAAGTTTTCCATATATGGATGCAAATGGAGATAGATTGAGAAGAGGAACATGATGATGGTTGATGGTGTAGCCCGTTGAGGAAGGTGTTGTTTGTTTTTTTGAAGGAAAAATTCATGAATTCTGCGGACCACCTCTGCAACCCTCAGCAGTAGTAGAAGAGGTGGACCAAACGGCTGCAAACTGTAAGAATAAGCGTGTTTGTTTTTTTGACATCTGCATGTTGCTGCAGATATTAAATAATTAAAATAAATTGATTGTATAACCCGAAATAGTTTTTTAATATCGAAAAATTAATAATGTATGACATTTCAGTAAGAATTTATGATATTTCAACAAAAAATAATGATATTTCAGGAAAAAGTAAAGATATTTTAACAAAAATAATGATATTTATCATTATTCAATATAAAAAATCGAAAAAAAAAAGAATTCAAAAAGAATAAACAAAAAACAAATGAAAAAAAATGTAAAATAAGATTTCAGCAAGAAAAAAAGAAGAAGATGTTAGAAGAGGCTCGAAGAGGAAATATAAGTGTTGCGCCAAACAGAACACGCGCAAAGGTTTTTACTCTGAAAACTTCTAAAAAACAAACAACTGCGAAACTAAAAGTGTTGCGTGTGTGCTGCACCACGCAGCAATAAGAAGTTTGAAGACGTTTTTTACAAAAAAACAAACAGCACCAAAGTGATCGCATCCTAGATTAGTTTGCATAAGCTAATATTAGCAAAAGACTAATAACTTCTTTGTTGAAACGTTTGCATAAAGGGAGTTTCCTCTTTTGACGATATCTTTCCATTTGTTAAAACAATATAGTACTCCTCCGTCCCAAAATTATACTTCATCTTTCCTTTTTTGGTTTGTCCCAAAATAATAGTCCACTTCTAAAAATAAATAACATTTTTACCAAAATACTCCCTCATTATTACTTAAACAACTAAGCATTTAATGGAACATTAAATGCAAAGTAAGGACAAAACTTTCATTTTATTGTATAAAGTTAGTGGTAACTAATGTTTCCTTAATCTGTGTGTTTTTTGTCTGTGGACAATAATATTGGGACGGAGGGAGTATAATATAACTAGTATGTTTGGCATACATTATGTTTGGATTGATGTCAATTACAATTTTTTGGCTTGCTCTCAATCTGTATATGCCAAAGCCATGAATCCCCTCATCAAAAATAGTCCTAAAAAGTTTCTCAACTCCATTCTCAAGTCCCAAATATGGTTAGCCATATTGCTCTGGAAAGTAGTTAAAGTAGTTACCTAATAATAGAATCATAATTCATATAGTACAACGATGTGTCTTCAATGGTGAATACTAATTTCAAAATGCCACTTTTGTTAGAAAAAATAGCAAACTGCTAAACACTATAGTTATACAATTGCATGCGCCATCAATAGAGGATCGCTTGACAAGTCTCTGTAAAATTTAAAAAGTAATCAAGAAAAATAAAAATCCCTTCATAATCGATGAAACAGGGAATTAATTATTTAGGGACTTACCTTTTATTGTTGTTGAAAAGCACAAGGGAAACAGGCTGTTGAGGTGTGAGGTTCTGCCGGAGTATGTAGACACATGTACCAATGCTGTAAAAGAAAATAAAATCAAGAGCTAAAAATGTAAAACAAAAAGATATAAAAGATATAATATTTACCTCCCAAAACATACAAGTGAAAGTATCCACAAAAAAGCACTTATCCAACTTGATTCCTTATATGCTACCCACACCTAAAACAAATAGTCAAATGTTCTAGGGTTAATTACTAAAAATCTCAATTTTATTATTTTTTCTAAAAATACTCTTACATATTTTTCATTTTTTTCAATTCGGCCATTTGGTAATCTTTTGGTTTTACATAATGATGTAAGGGTTTTTTTAGAAAAAAAAAAATTGAGGTTTAATCCGAAAAAAATAGAAAAATGTAAAGGCAAATCGAAAAAAAAATACAAAGTAAGGACAAAATCGAAAAAAAAAAGTAAAAACCAAATTGAAAAAATGTAAAAATGTAAAGGCTTATTAAGAAAAAAGAAAATTGAAGTTGAGGTTTAATCCGAAAAAACCAATGCAAATATTAAAATATTGAGAAAAATACATTTTTGGTCCCTGGATATATTTGTATTAAAAATTTTGGTCCCAAAAAGATTTCATTTCCAAATTTGGTCTTTATTTGTGGTATTTGTAACATTTTTGGTCCATGTTCTAGAAAAGTGACTATATTTTAGGAACAAAATTGCAAAAAAAAAAATAATAATCTGCTATATAATGTATGGAGACATACCGATAAAGCTACTACATTAAAATAGAAGTCGGTTAGTGTTCCAATCATGCACCTACAAGCATTTACTTTAGTCAACTTCAAGTCGCTCATTTCAATTTTTTATATAAATAAAAAAGAAAAGGAAATTTAATTTACGTTGAGAATACTTGAGTACGAAATGGAGATCCATCAACAATAAGCACATAAATAAAAGTTCCAAGCATGAAGCAGCCCAGTGAAGAAATGATTATTCTTGAAGTAACACTAGACACTCCCATCGTATGTCCCGTGGCATCCCTAAGTAAAATACATAAACGAAATTACAAGTTTAATATGAGGGTATTTTGGTCTTTTAATAAAAAGAATAGTAAATTATACGAATGGTCCCTATGGTTTGGGTAATTTGCACGTTTGGTCCCTAACTTATTTTTTTAACTCGGAAGGTCCCTACTGTTTGTTTTTGTTGCGCGCTTGGTCCCAGTCTTACCTAAAAAAGACTGTTTTGCCCTTGATTTTTTAATTTATTTAAATAAACACACCTCCAACCTCACATTACCTTACCTTACCTACCTATTTTATTTAAATAAATCAAAAAATCAATGACAAAATAGTCTTTTTAAGTAAGATATGGACCAAGCGTGCAACAAAAACAAACTGTAAGGACCTTCCGAGTTAAAAAAAAATAAGTTAGGGACCAAACATGCAAACTACCCCAAACCATAGGGACCATTCGTGTAATTTACACAAAAAAGAATGAAAAGAATTGAATTCCTCAATATCCCGTAGGAACGGTGAGATCTATCAAACATGGAATTTGAAAGATTCTAACGGAACTGGATTTTGTCCATTAGCAACCAAACATATAATGGAATGGAATCTCGAATTCCAATTCTAGTTAGATCATTCGGGTCTGTTTGGTTGGATGGAATGACATAAAGAAAGGAATGCACAATGTAATGAAACCGAGTCCTAATATTTTTTTGATCTTGTTTGGTTGACATGTAGTAATTAGAAAGAAATTGTATGAATTTTTTTAGGGTTAATCTCATAAAAGAGCTTATATTTTGTGTTTTTTCGGATTAAACCTCAAAAAAAATTTTGCCTGAAAAATACCTTGTATTTTTTTCATATTTTCATATTTGGCCCTTTTAGTTATTTTTTCCAAAAAAAAATTGTAAAATGTGAGGGTTTTTCGAGAAAAAACTAAAAAGTTGAGTGTTTTTTTCAGAAAAAAAAAATACAAAGTTGAGGGTTTTTTTAGATAAAATGAAAAAATACAAAGTCTTTTCCAGGCAAAAAATAAATTTGAGGTTTAATCTATAAGGTTTTTTTATGAAATTAACCCTTTTTTATTATATGTAAACAAAATATATAACTTTTAAAAGATTATATATACTAATTTCTTAAGATTATGAAAATCTTTTAGAAAAAACAAAAAACTAAACATAGTAAGAAAAATAATGCCGACCTTTTTTCATGTTTTACCAACACAAAATATAATGGATCCTTTGAAGATTCTTCAGGTGACAACTTGAATAACTGTATAACGATATATCCAGATGTAATAATGCTGCACAAGGAAAAATAATTTTATATCTTTTGATATTTTGATATTTACAAATTTCAAAATGTATTTTTTAAAAGCAAGAAAATTACCTTCCGAACATAATTTCTAGAAGTATCAAAACAACTGCCCTCATCCAGCTTGATTCCTTGTAAACAAACCAAACCTACAAGTATAAAAATCACATATGAATTCAACAAGTAATCAAGATAAGCATAAATGATTAAATTCCTTGTAGCTGATATGAATTTCTTACCCCTATAACAGCAACATTTATGTAAAAGTTTATGTACGCCACAAACAACCACCTGCAATTAAATGGGAAATTGTTTGGGATTTGATTTGGGGTAAAAATCATCCCTAATTAACTTCAATCTTCAAACTCTCTAACATACATTTGACAATAAACTCATCAAATTTGAAGGATTTATGGATCCAAGCATCGATCCATCTATACCCATTAACTTATTGGATCAGTTCCTTGATATTCGATCAACATTAGATCAATCGAAAAGTCTTCTTTGTAAATTACAATTGATGCGACTTTCGTTTCAAAAACTTTATCCCTGAAAATTGGATTCTAATTTTGGAACAGACTGAACAATCGATATAAACGATAACTATGCAGCATTCTACCTAAGTCGCAAACACCTGAATTGTTCAGAAATTCCGTCTGCTCAAAATACAGATGATTAGATGAAACACTTCACATTTGTTTTCAATCGAAACACAAGGTATGGGGAAAACAGGCCTCAAACTTCAACCAGTAATCTCGATACACAAATCTGTAATTTAAGGTTGAAACTTACCTTGCGCGAAGGTCTACGCAAGAAGCGAGGCCATCCATGGCGATTGCCCAAACAAGCGTGGCGAACATCACACAAGCCAACAGGCTGAACAGCGTCTTCAATGCGACTACCACCGACGCCGCCATTATTGCTCCGACGTCTGTGTGCTCGGGAAGCAGAGTCGTTGACTTATTAAATACAAATAAACTGTTAAGTTCGCAAATTTTATTTAGAGTAATTTACAGAGTTATCCCTAAGCTATACCAAAAGTTGCAATATTGGTCCCTACTTTTGGTATTTTCCCAAAGAAGTCCCTATGTTTGATTTCTAATTCAACACTGGTCCCTCTCCATACACACGTCCGTTTCATCCATTCTTCCATTCTGTGAGACCCTCACATGTGCAATGCAGATAGGGTATTTTGCTATTTCTCTTTTGAGTAAATTACACGAATGGTCTCTCTATCGTTTGGGGTAATTTGCACTTTTGGTCTCTAACTTATTTTTTTAACTCGGAAAGTCCCTATTGTTTATTTTTGTTACACTCTTGGTCTCTACTATTTGTTTTTGTTATGTCCGGTCTCTGTCTTACCTAAAAGATTATTATTTAAATAGGAAAAAATAATGGGGTAGGTAAGGTAAGGTGAGGGGGAGATTGGGGATGTGTTTATTTCAATAAATTAAACGCTTAACAAAAACAAACAATAGGGACCTTCCGAGATAAAAAAAATAAGTTATAAACCAAACGTGTAAATTACCCTAAACCATAGGGACCGTTCGTGTAATTTACCCTTCTCTTTCTCCTTCATCTATTAATTATCTATAACCAAACTTCGACTTTAATTATTGAGATTATCTTTAATTACATCCCTATTGTATTGCCTGTAAATTCACTAATGATATGTGTTTCTATATTCTCTCTAATTCACTGCTTTGTCATCAAAAAAGTCATTTAGTTTCATTACTTTCTTTTACCTCCCTAAAGTGAAGGCTCTCACCTCTTACAAAATACCACTTAAAATATAACTTACATGCATAGAAAGTAACAACGAAAATGGGAATAGATTTTTTTGTGTTCTATTTAGTATTTACTAAAAGCTCCTAATAACCAACTTTTAGGTAATGTTTGTTTTTCTCTGTAGATCTATATGGCATCTTCTGTCTGCGCCGCGCAGACATTAGCCTTCACAGACTGTTTGTTTTTTTGAAGACTGCAGACGTAAAAATGTCTGCGCACCCTCTTCTTGGCGCAGATGTGGACTAGAATCTTCTAACATCTTCAGACATCTTCTAGCCTAAAAAAACATATATATATCTTTATTTTTTTTAAGTTTTTTTTTTAATTTATATTTTTCCAACTTTATTAATTAATGATAAACAATTTGAAAAAAAAATTACAAAACTTAAAAAAAAAACGTTCGACGATACAAACATGATATTTTTGACAAATTTATAAATAAAGATTTATTACAATAGTAGTCGTTGAAGTTGTTTATATAAATATGAAAAAAAAAATCATAATACATTCTTATATTTTTTTTGCCAAATTTTATAAAACATTATTTAATATAGTATCGTCAATTTCTCGAGAAAATATTTATGGTACGTTTTTAATGGATTTAATTGAAAAAATCAAAGTTTAGTGTATCAAATGCTTTAATCACTAATTATAATGTTTAGTTATAACTTGGCAACCAAAGTTGTTGGTTTTTATCAAATATATACGTTAATTCATATCATTTTTATTTTTATTTTTTATACAATAATACATAAAAATTGATCTAGATTCGTTAATTATTTATAACAAAGTCATAAAAATATTAAAAAATCACTTTGAAGTTTAAAAAAATCAGTTTATTTAGATTTCAGTTTATTTTAGTAGCCCGCAGATGTTAAAAAAACAAACAATCTTCTTTTTTCAGACTGCAGACGTTTGATCCACCTCTTCTACTGCAGAGGTCTACAGATGTGATCCGCAGACTGCAGACATTTTGACTCAGAAAAAACAAACACCACCTTACATTCCATGACCAAATGAACACGACATTCATCCATAATCCCAAACATTAAAAACCATAGTTCTAAACCAAAAAAAATATTTATCAACATATGTTCGCAAAAAACAACATTAATTAAGCACACGCTTCATATGAAATTTTTTAGCATTCCAACAACTGAAATCTTTGCTTCAACAATAAGCCTATCATTCTTCAAAAAGCCCTTACTCATGTCACAAAGTTCACTCAACAAAATGAAACATGCAAAACCCCAATCATCTTCCTCTTCACAAAACCAGTGCCCCGTGTCTACAACCAATTATAGAAATACAGATCATCAAGAACTCAGAGTTACATAAAATAATCAACATGATCAATCAAGTATTTTACCTTTTGCAGCATAACCACTTTTGTTCTTAATCCGAAGTTCAAATCTTGCATAAACTTTCCAATCATCAGGAAATGACTTAGCCTCATGTACCTTTAAAAAACATGACAAATTTGTCCCTACTCCTGCACCTCTTCCTTTTGGAAACAGTGATAAAGTCCACTTGATTTTTCCAACTTTGAACACCTCAGAATGCAAGCAATCGTCTTTTATAGAAGAAAATTTATCAACAATCCAAGTGTAAGTGTTCATAGTTGCTGGAGGCTTTATCATGGATAAGCATCTATCTTTCAGGGTATACTCTGGAACTGAAAAAACCTCAGCTCCAAAGATACATGAATCATTGAAAAGGTATCCTTTGTTACTATCCTTAAAATGCTCCAAAGATATTAGTTTCTCAAAACCCCATTTTATTTGCTTCTCATGAAACCGTGTCCTATTTCTATCATCATCTATTAACACAACAAAATGGTTTATATTTTGTAATAAGAAGTAATTAGTAACATGAGCAAATACAAAAAAAGTAGAAAGTTTTACTTTTACACACGAAGTTGGCGAAAAACATAACATTTTTTTTGGTTGGTAAAAATCATAAGTTTTCAGATGAAAGGTTTTCTGAAAACCTATGGTTTTTACCAAAACAAAAAAGTTAGGGCTTTTGCCAACAAAACGTGTAAAACTTGAGACTTTTTTTTTGTATAAAATACCAAAAAAGTCCAAGTTTTATACGCTTTGTTGGCAAAAGCCCTAATTTTTTTTTTGTTGGTAAAAAGTAAAAAGACAAAACTGCAAATTTGGTCCTTGTGGTTTGCAAAAATCTTTGGATGGGGTCCAAAAAGTTTCCAACTTGCACAGAAGGTCCAAAATCAAGGTTTTTCTGGGTTTTTGATCCAAAAAATTTTGAAATTACCTATTTACCCTTTTAATTTCAGTTTTATATTTTTTTTCTTATTTATTTTAATACTTTATGAAATAAAAATAAAAAACAAAAACGATAGACCCCCACTCCACCCCTACCGGTACCCCCCCCCCCCCCCCCCCTCCCTCTCTCTCCCTCTCTCTTATACCCAGAAAAAAAGTCCATCCCTTGAATAGATTCTATCCTCGACATATCCATGTCCGGTACCCTCCCCCTTCTCTTTCTAACTTCACAATTCTGCAACTCTTTGACGTCGATGAACTCAAAGAGCCCTGACCACCCTTCCCCTCCCTAAATGTCTCTTCACCTTCTGAAAAGGTTTCATAAATTTCACTGCAAAACCTAATACCACCCCTATATCGGAAGGAGCTCCCCAAATTACAGTCAGAGCTCCAATTTCTGGTTCATGTAACGCCATTATAGGCATCACAAGGGTTCTACATCGATTCATATACAAAACCTAGGTGTCATCTCATATCATTCAACTCCAATTTGGGCCTTTCAACTCAATTACACAACATCGACGGAAGAAACTAGCAGTCATTGCACAAACCTGCTTGGAAGACAGAACTAAGGACTTGAAGGTCGACAACCTCATGACTAATCTCTGCAAACTCAGCTTAATCCTAAGGTTCGATAACCTCATGTCAGGTCGTAGAAGAAGACCCTTTGTTTTGGTTCAAATCATGTCTCGTTGGAACATATTCGTTGGTCTAAATGTACCCATTGTTGGGTTCCTCCGAAAATCCCCATGTGTTCGACAGAGATGGTAGTTGAAGTGGAGAAATGGAGGGAGAGAGAGTATAAAGAGAAATGGTTGAGTGAATTCGAAACCAAATATGCATTTTCGATCAATTTCCCAATAAGATTTAAAATTAAAGCAAAATTTAAACCAAAATTGAATGAATGGCAAATACTTCCTTACGTTAAACCCTATGAACAAAAAGAGACTTTTAGGGCTTCGAGTTGTGGTGGGATTGAGCGATTTGAGAAGCAATCTGTTAGGATTCTTCATGAGCTTTTGAGTTTGACAGCGGAGAAGATGTTTGAAGATGAACGATTAGCACACTTTCGTAGAGATTTTGGTATTCCGGTTAATGTTGGTGTTGAGAGAGAGAGAGAGAGAGAGAGATAGAGAGAGAGAAAGAGAGGGAGAGGAGGAGGAGGAAGAGAGAGAATGAGGGAGGGCTACGGTGGGGGGAGAGAGAGAGAGAGAAAGAGAGAGATGGGGTGAGACAACTTAATTTCTTTTTCTGCATTAATATTTATAAAATAAAAATATAAATAACACAAAAAAGAAATTTAAAGGGCAAAACAGTTAATTCAAGTGCTCAATGGACCAAAAATACAAAATTTTCTTAAGTTTAGGACCAAAAACCTAAAAAAACCTTGATTTTGGACCTTCTGTGCAAGCTGGAAACTTTTTGGACCCTATCCAAAGATTTTTGCAAACCACAAGGACCAAATTTGTAGTTTTGTCAAGTAAAAACCATAAGTTTTCAGACGACCTTTCATTTATAGAAATGAAAGGTTTTCTAAAAGCTTACGGTTTATACTATAATACTAATACAAAAAGTTAGGGCTTTTGTCAACAAAGCGTATAAAACTTGGGACTTTTTTGGTATCTTATACAAAAAAAGTCTCAAGTTTTACATGTTTTATTGGCAAAAGCCCTAACTTTTTGTTTTAGTAAAAACCATAAGTTTTCAGAAAACCTTTCATCTGAAAACTTATGGTTTTTACCAACCAAAAAAAAAAGTTAGGTTTTTCGCAAACTTTGTGTGTAAAACTTGTGATTTTTTTGGCATTTGCCCTGTGTAACATAGAGGAAATAAAACTTTACCTTGAAAGATAACATAGTTGTGAGCTATATGATCATAAACAAAAAATTTGACATCAACATGGACTTTCCACCCCTTCTCAAGACTTTCAGTGTCGCATATTATTAAATACAAAGAAATGTGATTGTCACCCTTTTCCTCATTATTTCCATTTGGATACAAATCCAGTCTCCTACAAGTTTTAATGGTTGCAATTCATGTAAGGTGTGATAAAAAGTGACAAAAAGTACATTCATTTCTACAAGGAAGTTAAAGTGACATTACCATTTATGACCACTGGCTTCAAAAACATCAGATTCAATTTTGATATTTCCAGCTTCAGAAAGAATAGAGAAGGACTCGATCTTTAACATATAGTGGGATGGTTCATTTTTTGTGGTTGATAACAACATATCTGCAGTACTTAAAAGCGAATCGATAAACCCATAAACATGAAATTAAGAAACCCTAACAATTGAAAACGACAGAGTGAAAGGATCTTTATACGCGCTACTATCAAGTTCATGTTATTTTTTATTAAAAACTGATAGATATAGAACCACAAAGAGATGTAATTCTTCTAATCACTTGTATAGTGTGCATTACAAGTTGTAACCGATACATCATTTTAACATTTCAACCATGGAAAAACTTGTAAAGAAACTAAAGTTGTAAAAGTAAAGGAGGATCCTAAAACTTGAGATGTAAGAAAGCACATAAACGTAAAGATGAACACAAAACTTCGAATTTTAGCAGATGGCATACCTCTTTCAAGCATCAGTGGCCGATGGTGATGGCGATGGCGATGGCGATGGCTGCAGCAGGCAGTGAGGGTGAGATTCTTCTGTAAAAGTGGGGATTTGGGGAACAATAAAGGTGACACGATAAAATCGAGTTTCATACCCATCCATGGTCTTTTTAAAATTTATTTACCAATTCATAATAGTTTCTAATTTAATTATTAAAATATAGGGATTTTTTTTTTAATGCGTAAATAATATATTTTCTTAATCTTAACTTCAAAAATATCTATATTTCATTCTTAGCCATATAAACTTTTTAATTTTAATACAACATAACATTAAACTAATTTACATTTTATACATAATTCTTTATTTATTTTATTTTAAAAGTTTATGTTTCATATCTAATAATACGGACAGTATCATCCAGCATAATGTAAAAAAATCTATATTTCTTAAAAAAAATAAAATCAATAAATAAATAAAATAGCTTGCGACTAATTAAAAGATTGAAAAGAACAAGATTTTGTCCATGCCTGAGTGTACTTTTAATACAGTTATTAAGTTATTTATATCAAATGTCATATTTCTAAAAAGTTATAATTTATTATTTAAAAAAAAACAATATTTACCACATACCTTAATAGCATAAATTGACAGACAGAAATATTAACGTCCTTATCAAAAACCGGTAAGTATACTAAAGTATAGAAAAATTGAACGTGTGAGCATAAAATGGACAAATTTAATATAAAGTACCAAAAACTTGAACAAAAATATTAGATGATTAAACACTATTATAGATCATTGATGCTTTTTTTTAGGTCTCGATGGATATGTCTTTTGATAATGATTATCTTGTCTACAAATGCTACAAAGATTAGATTTTTCCTTCTTTGATGTTCATTTCATTTTGTAGTATTGCCTAGCGAGGACACCCTTTTTCGTTTTGTTTCAATTCTGAATTTGGAAGCATTTTTCGAATAATTGTCTTTGGCCAATATGTTTCATGAGGAACTAGGGAAAACTCATAAGCCCACGTAGTTGAATACTTAACAATCGAGTAATATTGTTTAGTATATTAACAATTATTTAACGAAAGACATGCATACACACTCGGTACATGAGAACAATGATATTTGTATACCTCTCATTTACTCCATGTGCAAGTTATTTTCTCCAAATCAACTACTTGGATATTTTTCCCTTTCTGAGTAACAACCTTAAAAATCATTTCCCTATGTTAAAAGATTTCAAGGTATGTGCAGTAGCTTTTGACATTGAAGCTACCATCATGTGTAAGTGTCTATTGTAACGTCCCAAAAATCATGGTAAAAAATTTCATTTTTCAAAAACTGTTTTATAAACCACAAGTCATACAAAATAATATTTCCAAAACATAGTCATAAAATCATAGTATCCAAAAAAACATCTTTCAACATAAATCCAAGGATGGTGTGTACGATCACGCCTTCGTCTTGCCCCCATCATCTGATGTACCTGAAACCATGAAACCAAACTGTAAGTCAAATCTTAGTGAGTCCCTCTAGAATACCACAAATAACAAACACATATAAAAGCATGCATATAGGTCCACAGTCATCGGGCTGGATTACCCTCGGGTCCACAATCATCAGGGTCGGTCCTGAGGATTCAAATGCCCATGACGAGGCGGATAAAAAATGCTCTTACGCCTTAATGTGTAACGAATTAAATTACATAAATTATTTTTTTATTAAAATGACAATGAACTTTATAGCAATAAACATAGCAAAATCATAGTATTTTAATGAGTAATTACATATCGTAACATCTAATCGACGATCCATGAAGCTCTCCTAGAATTCTTGATAGCAAATTGGTTGATCAACTTCTTAGTCTATACTCTTTAAGATTTCGTTCTCGATAGATATCATCGCCAAACCGCTAAGTCTTTATTGGGTCATTGTAGAGCGTAAGTAAGATTTCATAAACTTTAATTTCGAAAAACTAATTTCTGCAGATGCGACCGTTACTGGAATAGTCAACAATATTCTAATTTCTGCAATGCTTGCTTTTGGGAAATAATTGAGTTCTTTCAAAAACTTCAAAACATCTATAGGGTTGCTAAATTCGTTGGTTTCCAATGTCTCAAATAATTTCAACTCCATATAAAGTTCCTCAGCACTAATATCCGATCTTTCTTCAAAGTTGAGTACTTTTTCAAGACGATGACAATACGACTTAAGATCTTTATCTTCAATTACCCTCAAATTATGTGGAAATAAAAACCAAATACATTGTCATACTCTTTGAATTGTTCAAATCTTGTCTCAAGAGAAAAATAGCTTGATCAACAATGTAAAAGAAATAATTGACTCTAAAATTCTCTTCAGGTGTAAATGAAACTTCTTCGCTATTTGAACTCTCATCAAACCTTTTTTCCTTTCAATCAAATGATTTTGTGGAAATATTGGATCAATACCCATTTCAATAGCAATATCCTTAGCTTCAGCATTTGAAAAAACAGTTTCTTTATAATCCTTTAAGTACCCAATCAATTTGTTTATTTCTGTAATAACATTATCAAGATGAATATCCTTTAATTGTAACTTCTTACTCACAATATTCACATGGTTTAGTACTTCATACCATATAACAGTTGATACCAAAAATTCAAAGTCACCAAGTTCTTTTTCTGCTAGTGAAGTTGATTCACTTGCAATTGCAGTATCATTATCTTTTCTCCAACATGAAGTAAAGCTTCCCGTACATCCAAAAGTTGCAGTTTAATAGCCTTTACAATCTCAACACGGCTTTCCCAACGAGTTTGACACAATGAATTAAGACTCCAAGCTTTAACATTATCTTTCAAAATTTTCCACCTCTTAGTAGAATTTGAAAAGATAGTATAAATATGTTGGATGAATCCAAAAAAAAAGTTTCCTTTAACACACTTGTTAGCCATATCACATAATGTTAGATTAAGTGAATGACAACCACAAGTAGTGTAAAGTGTAAAATGCTCTAGGATTTATATCTAAAAATCTCTTTTGCACTCCTTGGTGTTTTCCATTCATGTTTGCCCCATTATTATAGCCTTAACCATGTATATCATCAATTTCAAGACCAGGAGACTTTAACTCCTCATGTGTAATATCAAATAGTCATTTTCTAGAGGTACTAACATCTAAACACCCTTTTGTTCTCTGAATGGATAAATAGCAGATCCTGAACGCATTTCAATCAGAAAATTTACAGAGATATATGCATATGAAGATAAATAACGATTAGAAAAGGTTTCAAAATGATGAAATCTTTCACATTTTTCCATTTATGCTTACTGGGCATCCATTTACTAAACCTCAATTGGTGTCATTTTAATTCATCACAGATTTTCAATTTCAAGCTTAATATCGCCCAAATCCCCACACATCCACCAAATTCCATTCATACAATTCAAATTACCCAAATAGCAACCAGATCCAAGCATGAAAAACGATTGAAATTCAATAGAACAACAAACCTTAGAGCATTTATCACCACCAATATCAACATCTTAAAGAACCTTTTTACCAGCAACAATGCAATAGTGAAGACAATCATCAAGCCTTTGGTCATTCTTCTGATCAATATACCCATCCACCGTAAAACCAAACCGAGTCGGAAACTTGGACGCATAGAACCAGTCCATCAACCCGATTCCGCTCTCCCCTGCCAACAACTTCTCAGAGGATCCCCTGCAGTTCCACCTCATTTACCAATTTCACTATCGTCGCCACCATAAGCACCGGAATCAGCAACAATAACGTCTTCTAGAGGCTCGTTAACAACAAAAGTATCAGTTGTAGCAGTGGCAACAATACTTGTACCAACAAATGATTCATGGAAGTCTTTAATATTGTAAGCAACAGGCCCGACAAGGCACTCATCTAAAAGAACCAATTAAAGGGCCAAAAACCCTAATTTATATATCGATGTAGAGATATAGAGAGAAAGAGGAGAGAGGAAAAGATGAAGTGGTGAGAAAGTCGCAATTAAGGGCGACAGGAATGACTGGAGATAGAGAATTACTTTGTTTTCTGTCGAGAGATCAAGAGATTGAGAGTGAAAGTGGGGTTAGGATTCGTATAATAGAAATGGGTGACAAATGGAAAAGGGGGCAAATTAATTGACAGGTGGTTCGAACCGGAGATGGTGATCGAAGATGGTCACCAGTGAATTGAAGTTCTTGTAGGGAAGAGTAGAAGGGTATTGGGTAGGGGTGGGGTAATGGTAATCGATGACATGGCATGGCTGATGGGGAAAATATGTGGCATTGAAACCTGCTAAAATAGGTGAAGGTGACTAAAAAGACAAGTTGCTCACGAATTCGTTTCCTTATAAAGCCACAAAATAAGTTAAATGGCTAAATGGGTAAACCCTAGAAACATAATAGGGCATATACGTCATTTTCCCTTATGAATAATATCATCACCGCCGGTGAACTTCTCAGACCATGTTCTTATGGTAGATTCATTACTATTATTTCCAACAACTCCTTATGTTCAATCTCTACAAGAACAGATGAAGACGACGATCTTCTACCAACGTGATTCACACCGACAATGTGTTTCGGTTTCGGAAATGAGAAGGATTCAAATCTCGAGATTTAATAAGGACTAATAATCGCTTGAACAACGTTAGACTGAGTTCATCGAACCGCTATCTTCACCGCATGTGCCTCAAGTGGTGGCTACTCCCTTTTATTCTCGAACTTGTTTCTATTGAAGATACAACACCGATACCGGAATTTGAAATCTCATTCCTCTATCACTTATCGTAATTCACACACATACATAGAAAATCTGAGAAGAAGACGCAAGGAAGGAGGGGTACATGCGATCGACTGGGAAGGCAGAAAAGTGGGGTTTTGTTCTTTGATTGAGATCTGAAAGAAATACCACAAGATGTGATCGACAAAAGGAGACAAACGAGATGGGTCAAACTTTGCTGGGGGTAATGAATACAAATGCTCAAGCACACACAGGCCAATTGATTTTTGTGGGGGTGGGAACTGAGAAAAGATGTAGTCTTCATAGTGTGCAAGGGGTGGGTTTTTAATATAGGGTAAAAAGCCATGTATTAAAAATAATAAGAATAAAGCCACGTAGACTAAATGAAACCAGTGAAACCAGGATGAATTTGAATTTTCTCCTATTTGACAGGTAAAATAACACTTTAGTAATCTATTACACCAAAAAAAAACATTAGTAACCAAATCAGACAAATAACAAGATTTTATTGAGTGTTTTTTTACTAGAATATAGTGGTTGGAAATTTTATTTACCAAGTAAAGGTATTTTAAATTTTATTTACGACTTAATTGTACTTTATATTTTAACAAAAAAACATGTGGGCCTCTATTTCTTTCATGCTTGCCTCCTTTATCATCTGCTCACACGTCCTTCTTTATTGGGCTGCCATCGTCAAACCACTTACAACGTCCCTGCTATCATCAGAAACGACAATAGTCCTCCCATTCATTTCCACACTACAACCCCGCTTCAATCTACAAATTTCCTACATCCTTCTTAATTCTGCAAGTTATTCTTTTTATATGCTCCTGTTGATCAATGTTTGGTTCAAATCTTCGTCGCTTTCTTCTTGGTTAAAGTTTTAGAATTTTGTTTTACTCTAATTTTGTTTGATATTTTTAATGTATCTTATTTTGCTTCACTTTTAGTAGTGATATGCTTGTTAGCTTGTACCTCACTATCATGCTTTTTTTTAACTTTAGTTAATTAATTAATTATATATGTATTTAATCTCATGCAAACTAATAATAATGTAACTTCTTCCTATACGTATTTACTGTCTAGGTTTATAGGTTTTGTTATCAATGCTGGTTTATAGGTTTTGGTATCAATGCAACATGTTTTGTTTACTGATGTGTTGGTATATCAACTTAAATAATAGTTGTTGTTTATTTGTAGATTTTCATCCACATGGCATCGATATTTATTACATTATTATGCTATCGGGATGGAAAAATTTACGATGGAGAATAAGGTATAACTTACAACAAGTCTCTATGTAAAGCTATAACTGTTCAAGATGGAATATGATTCAATGACCTTGTCAACCAAATTCATATTGCAACATCGATTGATACGACACAATATCTTATTAAAGTAATTTTAGATATCCATCAGTTGTTGGAAAAGTAATGAATATATTCCTCTCCAAATTAAGGAAAAAAATGACGTTGAGATCATGTTTGATGTTCTTAGTCTCCATCAAGAACTAACTAACATTGATCTATACTTAGAGGTTGAAGTCAATGGCATTAAAAATCACACAGACACCTAAATATTAAAACTAATCATATATATAAATTTTCAAACTTTTACTTGTATTTTTTATGTTCTATGTTACATTAACTGCATAATTGAATCAACTGTTTCGATAGAACAAGAAAGGGACACCACCATTACTGACTATGATTCATACGAATGTCGTGGAAGAAATGATTCTGGATGAGGATTTTGACACCATTTCCTAACTTGCGGCTGTGAACAATGGAATGGATAGTGGCTTTAACATGAACAATGAAGAAGATGAAAGTAAACATGAAGATGGAATTGACAATGATTGAGATGCAACTATGGTTGGTGATGACATTAAGTTACCTTCTAATTTTACTACTTTAGAAGGAATGGATGAGGATAATGTTGACACTTGGATGGTGTCACACCCTGAAAGTACAAATGATTTAACTCGAGATTTAGGAGAAAATAATTTTAAAGATAAGGAGAACTTATCAGAGCTATCAATATTTACACAATTAGGAAGCATCGACAATATGAAGTGGTTGAAACATGTTCAACAATCTAGAAGGTAAGATGTATGTTATGTTCGTAAACGGGTTGTAAGTGGCAAATACGTGCATGGAAACATATGCGTAGTGAGTACTTTGAGATAACAAAATACACATGTCCACATACTTGTGTCTAAAATAGGATTACTCAAGACCACCCACATTTGGATGCAAGTTTTATAGCTCAAGAAACTGAGCACCTTATAAAGGAGAAACCATCTATTAGTGTTCCTACTTTGAGAGCCGGAATAATTGATCAATTAAGCTACACTCCTTCATATAGGAAGGTTTAGTTAGGAAAGTAGAACGCAATTGAAAATATATATGGAAATTGGGAGGAATCTTATAATATTTTACCAAAACATCTTGCTATAATCCAAATTTCTAATCCAAGGATTATAGTTGAATGGTGCACTGCGAGATCGAGTAATATGGATCAAGTGGAGCTCAGATGTGTTTTTTGGTCTTTTGCTCCCTCAATCAATGGATTTGAGCATTACCGACCCGATTATTAGCATTGACGCACACATTTATATGGTAAGTACAAGGGAAAGATGATGATTGTAATGAGAGTTGATGGTAACACTCAATTTTTTCCTCTTGCATTTGCTATTGTTGAAAATGAGTCATATAGTAGATGGTTTTGGTTTCTTAATCATGTCAAGAAACATGTGGTGAAAGAACGACACATTATCTGTTTAATATCCGATCGTCATAGTGGAAACCTAAAGGTGGTTAACGAGCAACGATCTCCCTGGTTGGAACCATATAGTTTTCACAGGTACTATTTGTTTTTATCCGCTTAACCACTTTTACGATAACATAAATCATAAATCTCATTTGAAACTATTTTTATAGGTATTTTCTATGACATTTTGTCAACAATTTCCATGACAAATTTCGCAACTCAAATCTGAAAAGTTTAGCTTACCATGCTGGGAGTCAAAACCAAATTTGTAAGTTCAACTCCATTATGGAAGAAATTGGAAAAGTCAATGCACAACCTCACCAATAACTTGGGGGTCATTCACTTTGTAGATAGATGTGACACTCGGTTATACCAGGTAAATTTCCTTCTATAATTTTAAAATGTAATTTGGAGAATTTGATCCTACGCGGGGCGTAGGGTAATCTCCTATGCAGCGCGTAGGAGGAAAACATGATAGGAGGGTTTAATGATCTACGCATGGTGTAGATCAAGCTATGCAACCTAATCTTAGGGGGGTTTGAGCCCTATTAAAAGGCTCTAACTCTCTTGAGGCCTTCCATTATCAGCCTCCACCCCCTTTAAGCAGCCACCTCGAAACCCTAATCTTCTTGTGTGGGTTTTTGCAACCCTTGAGTGTTTAGTGTGTTGTTGTGAAGGGAGAACTCCATTGAAGAACACTTGGGAAGCTCCGAGCTTTTTGGATAAGGAATTTGCATCTCATAATCACCCCCAGAAGGCATAAAGTTTCTATATTGAAGTTGTTTATGATAGATCTAGTTTATGCTTAAGAATTCTATGCTTTTGTCTCCATAACCTTGGTTCTTATGAGTATGAGCTACTCTAGGCCATCAGGGTATCATTTCCAGTTGATTTTGGAGTTTTTAAGACATAAAAATTTGAGCTTGGTCACTCTCATTCTCCCATGCATGAGTTTTTGAACAATAGATGGATTTTTGGACCTAGGATTTGGTTTGGTGTCCTTTGGATGCATGCAAATGAATAAAGTCGGAAACTTTATCCATTAAGACGTTCATTTTTCTTAGATCTGAGAGTTTGATGGGTTGACCTTCTGTATAAGCACTTAATGGATGGGTTTGGGCAGTAGTTTCCTACGCACGTCGTAATTCTGGCTACGTAACGCGTAGCCTCATTTTCACCTGCTTTTTCCATCCTAGGCTCTACGTTGGGC